CGACCGTCCTTCACACGGACGAAAGAGGGAGTGCTCAAAGAGCGGCTCCCACAGCAAGGAGGGGCCCCGTGAATCATCGCGGTGCCCCCTATCAAACGGTTATCTTACCAGTCTGCGTGACACAAAATCATCCAGCACATGTATCCAACAACAATGTTCGCAGACCCACGAACATCTCCCACACTTTCTAGTCTACGTTGTCCCAAACGACCCATGGGACTCCCATGGATCACCCATAGTCACCCATGGGTCACCACCCATGGGCCGCCCATTGGCACCCCTTTAGGCCCATAGGCAGCCCATGCGTGACTCATGGTTGACCCATGAGCAACAAAGTACCCATGCCCATGGGCAGCCCACTCGGGCCGCCCATATGGGCCGCTCATACGGGCCGGGCCGCCCATGGGCGTGCCCATGGGTAGGCGGTGGGCAGCCCGTGGGCTGCCCATGGGCAACCCATGGGAAGCCCATGAGCGGCCAATGAGAGCCCTCCAACCGAACCAGTGTGCTCCTGAACAATAGATTATTTGCTTTGCAACGGGCACTTTAATGGCCAAAAGTCTATCCCAAACCCTAACCCTAACGCTAACCCTAACCCCAAGCCCACATGATACATATGTGCTAGGTGGGCGCTGGTGGCTAAAGTTCGCCGAGGAGCCAGGTAATAGATTGGGCCAAGACGTTTCGATCTAGACAAAGAAAGCTGGGTATTGGTGGATGGAGTACTGCAGACCGAGGCTATGGTTCCTCGACAGAAGCCTCGGTGTCGACTATGCACATGCTGCTCAGTATTACAATCTGCCCTGGACGAGGCCATCCTTGAGATCAGCAATGAAATAATAGCGTCTGAGCTTGGCTACCGCCAGCACCGGGTTGGAAACAGGAACGAATTCGATAGTACTTTATACCCAGCGCCTCCCGAGTATATCGTCTCCCAAGCGCGAACATTTGTGAGTGAGACCACGATGTCGCCGGCGTGTGAAGCAAGCTAGGATCACACCTAAAAGAAGCCTGCTGTGGCACAGCGCTCGCGTACACCTGAACTTTACAGCAATATACTCGAGTATGCTACCGTAAAATATGGAGAATCGCCCTCATCTATTTTACGACGTCAGCCCGTCAAGAGCTGGAGGACGAGGGTAAACCCCATCTGAAGTAGTTCAGCGTCTTCCTGTCCTTACCGTGAATAGTGACCTGGCGGCTTGCCTGACGCTGGCGGTGGTCTGCACGCGGGCGACGTACGGACTGGAGGGCAATTACGGCAGCTTTGAGTGGGTTGCACCGATCACAGACGGGCGGACGTACGTGTGTGGCTTTCGCAGGGATTTGTGGGAATATTCATCATTCGTTGGTGTCTGTTGTAAGATTCAGATGTGTAGCCGGAGCATAGTCTACAGTGTAGAAGAGAATGGTTCCTTGAAAAATAGAAGGCCTGGGGAGATGTAACTCCCCGTGGAAGGATAAACAGGGGACATGATCATAGTAGCCCCTGCTTGAACAGAGGATCCTGGCCCTCATGGTATCCTTCCTACCGATACCCAAGGCAAAAACTACTGCTGCTACTTCCGCAAGAGGAATAACAAATGAGTTATTCTTCACGGTTGTAGTTCCACATCGCACCACGCGTGCGTATCTTTCTTTCTTTGTAGGTCGACACAGATGATGCCTGTAGACTGGAAGTGGGACCAAGCTGCGGTTTGCGATGTGAAGATGTAGTCTAGACTATGATTATCTGTTCAACAAAAAAAACAGGGAGGCTCTGTTTTCTGCACACACGAGTCTAGAAGCAACAGCTAGGTAATGAAACCTCGAGGTCATGATGGCAGCTCGCGACAGTGTGTTGGCACTTCGTAAGCTAGTTGAAAGGCTAAGGTTTACCGGTGGTTGCTGCGCGGTAGAGCGGCCATGCGTAGGCTTCCGGACCTTGGAACAACACGCCTCGAACTCGGAGGCATGTATGTATGCATGCTTGTGCATAGTCTACATACGCTCCGAACAATCAGTCCATTGGCACGTACCATGACCAGGACCGCTTGACCGAACCCACACAAAGAGAACGCATACGTGCTCTTGACCCCCCCAACGTGAGCCCTGCCCGCGCACATGCGCTCCTGCTTTTCCTAGAAAAGCAAACCAGCACAAACAACTGCTGTTCGATAAAGTTATACCACCAGACTAGTCAGCGCTGACTAGTCTAGTCTAATGGTGTAACTTTATCGAACAACCACATCAACCTCCCCTCTAGCAGTGCACCCACCTCACCTCGGCTTGCTCCAGCCACCACCAGCTACATGTATGTGATATGGTTCGTCAATCCTGGGATTAGTTCCTGTGCTGCCAACATAGATCATGGCCCAAAGACTTGACTGGGCGAAAAAACGCCGCCGGTGTAGTCTAGCTATTATATAGTCTAGTCTATTCATCGAACAATCATAATAGTTACAAGAGGACATCAACAACGCAGTAGTATTTTAGCAAGCTTACGAACGCATGTAGGATACCATGACGATTGTCATTGATTTTATTTCATATTGAAGAGGAGATACTTTTACGATGTAAGTGACAGTAGAAACAAGTCCTACATATGTTGTTGTACTTCGTATTGGTTTAATATTCATGTGTAAAAGACATTATTAAGTGACAGTTTTCTGAGGTACATCATCTGCAATTGTCGGAAGGCAAAAAAAAAGAAAAAGTTCAACGGCTCACTTGCTGTCAATACTCACATATAACAACATATTCGCCTGATTGAGAGCGTAGCATCTGATTGAGAGCGAGATTGCGCGATACGCTGTAGCCGGACTACCACTGAGAGGTGGAGCTTGCTGTGTAGCTTGAATTGAAGGGCTAGCCCGTAGCTTCAAGCCGCTACCCTGGTCATCCTGTGGGAGTCTCTCGTTGTGGAGCTACAGCGGGGAGCAGAAGCTACAGCAGAGCCCACCGCCCGACGCGATACCGCCCTGAAACAGTTTGAGCAGAAATAGCCAATCTGGGCAAATCTAGCAACTTGTCTAGCTCCTCGCTGCAGCATCCGATGACGATGACACGCATATGCTCGCGAAGCTGCTGATGAGACCTTCAATTTGCACCGCTTCTTGGAATAGCCCGTCCCCTACTTGCCAAGAAATGGCAAGAGGCGTCTGGACCCGAAATTTCAATTTTTTTGGCTCTCGCTCTCAATCAGATACTTCGCTCTCAATCAGGCGAATATGTTGTTATATATGCATAGTCTATTGTAGTCTTCCACTTTCAGTAATATTCTCTTCTTACAGTAGACTGTAGATAACAACAAGGTAGGCTTTCAACAATCTCTCCATATAGACTTGGTACGTACCACATGGACTTGGTACGTACCAGACTTTCTTATCATTATCAACAATCACACATGTATGGTCTTCTTTCATTATCAACAATCACGCACGTTAACGTTGAAACACCGAGTTTCCCCGGGCATATTGACCGCTACACGCCCCCACACACGACAGCACGGTACTTGTCCACAGAAGAAAACCAATGAACCGCTCGAAGCTTCAACTGGGACACATCGAACAAAGGGTGAGTCCCGAGATACATGGGTGTGTCAAATGTTGCGGAAACCTTGTGCGGATGCACACCGTGCGTCGAAGGATATCTTGATGTCGATCCTGCCGACAATCGCACATCCGAGGAAACGTTCGTTTCTATTTCTTGACACTTGTGTGAATAATGTCAGGGGTCTTCGCGTGCCTCTCTCACGAAACATGCCCATGGTAACAGGTGGATGAAACTATGATCGAAATTTACTCGGATTGTTTGTTTCGCAAGCCAGCACCTGCGCCTTTTAGTTTCTCCGACTCCGTGAGAGGGGAGAAACAATTGGAATGTATCGCCTGTTGTTTGCTGCGCGCTCACGAAATGGACAGGCATCAACTCCATTTTAATTTCGCCGAAAATGTTCGCGGCAAACATGTTCAGGTTCGAGTGCATCAGACCCGACACAACCCTCCTCTATCACTCTTCTTCATATGAGACTCTCTATGGTCTTCACCGACACCACACCTCACTTCTTGCAGTTACGGGCACAACAGCACCGCAGCAAAAAGTGGTCCTCCTGTCAACACTGTCGAAGTGTTCGTACACAGCACAGCGTCGGCAAGGCATCTATCTACACAGACAGCAGTACAGGGATCTTCGGTGAATACGTCTTTCCTCATGACCTCGTGGAGTGACACATGAATATCGCCTGGTGGATGATGACGAACTACTGTATTAACGAGGAAGAGAGAAGGAGATGGTGAACACGTGGAACACACTACCTTGGCCGGTTCACGCTTTTTCTCGCTTTATACTGCACGTCTCGCGCAGCGAAATAGGCCGAATTGAACTTCTTCGCTGATCCTCCCCCCCCTCCCCATGATTGCACCGTTGCATCATCCCCCCACGAGTGAGGACATGCCTTGGCTGTTGATGGTGGCCCTAATTGTGTGTGTTTGCTTATGGTGGCGTGTGATTTATTTTTTTCTTGTTTCCCGTCGGGTTTCTCCTTTTCCTTTCCCCCTCCCTTACTTTTCATTTTCTGTAGACCATTGTTGTCTTTCAATTTATTTTGTCCTTGTCGTATCTTCCCCGGATGACCTGTCTCTCTCTGGCCGGTGATATTGAATTCTACTTCATTGCTGTCCCACATGTCGTGTGTGTAGAGGGGAGCGGAGGGCAACAAATTATCTGGTTCGTTGATTTCACTTGGCTGGCGGACCCTTCGGATCCATTATATTTGAGCATACATACCTTGTGTTAGGTTATATAGCCTGCGACCATGGGGATCGCTCGGAAAGTGTTTGATCAGTACGGACAGATGAAGGTCCTGGGTAGACAGATCGGAACGGATCTATGGGCGAAGACAACAACATGCGAATAGACACGGCGTAATGAGGGTAACAAATCACGATCAACAACAACTCGAGCTCTGATTAGTTGAAGATAACAGACTAATCAGACATGGTCTGGGTTTCGAGCAGAGCTCAAGGATGAATGTTGATTACCTGCCTTTTCAAGCTCCAGGAAACAGAATGCAAATCGATGATTTTCATGTTCATCGAAATAATGAGCAGACACGTGACAAAGAAGGACTATTCACTGTAGTTGAAAGAAATGAATGCTTCAGGCTTACCGTGGTGATTGATGGTGAGGGAACACAGGTTTTCACAACGATCCTTGTCACGAGTGCTCCCCACTCTCACCTTGGAACCCAGTAGGAAAGGTGTTGCCAGGCGCACGTCACGTTCATCAGACCGATCTCCTTGACCCTCCATGTCCACAAATCTGATCGTGGGCTGCGGTGAGCTTGACGGAAGGTGAGTGGTGTTGCCCGCGCTCCCCCTCTTGAACTCGGACAGAGGCATCAGGATGGAAGAGAGGTCGGCCCCCGCCGTGCACGGATATCCTTCAGGTGACACACGAAAACCGTTGTCGCGACGTGTCAGCGCATTCATGAGGAAGGATTTTTCCTGCCGTGCGGCGCCGAGAATCGTTACGATGCTCAGTGACTGGTCGTCGGAAACGTTGGAAAGTCGCTCGCATGCTTCCTCGGTTGCCTGAAGCCTCCCGTCAGTGGCAGTGACCCATTTCACAGCGGTTTCCATATCGATGCGACCTGCTGAAAAATATACGGGGTGAGCAGCCTTTGGCGGGCAAGCTAACCGCTGGGGTTAATGTTGACCCGGAACGTGGGATTCCACCGACTTCTTCACTCGTCTCGACGAATAAATCAAGGCGGATGAAGGCAGATGAAGCCTTGGTTGGAATCTTGCCTAGATTTTTCTTGACGAATGCTATTGTAGACTACACATACAGAACAACATATTCGCCTGATTGAGAGCGTAGCATCTGATTGAGAGCGAGATTGCGCGATACGCTGTAGCCGGACTACCACTGAGAGGTGGAGCTTGCTGTGTAGCTTGAATTGAAGGGCTAGCCCGTAGCTTCAAGCCGCTACCCTGGTCATCCTGTGGGAGTCTCTCGTTGTGGAGCTACAGCGGGGAGCAGAAGCTACAGCAGAGCCCACCGCCCGACGCGATACCGCCCTGAAACAGTTTGAGCAGAAATAGCCAATCTGGGCAAATCTAGCAACTTGTCTAGCTCCTCGCTGCAGCATCCGATGACGATGACACGCATATGCTCGCGAAGCTGCTGATGAGACCTTCAATTTGCACCGCTTCTTGGAATAGCCCGTCCCCTACTTGCCAAGAAATGGCAAGAGGCGTCTGGACCCGAAATTTCAATTTTTTTGGCTCTCGCTCTCAATCAGATACTTCGCTCTCAATCAGGCGAATATGTTGTTCAAATCATAAAATTAGGCATTGCTCTGTAATTTGAAATACAAAAATGCCGTACATTTTCAGCCTTGGAAACAAAACTCAACCGCACCCTTTGCAGGTTCTGCAAACAAGAACGTTATTGGGTAATGTAAAGTCAAAACGGAGTTTCATGGACTAACCATGAGGTACCATGAGAACATTTCAACTGCGGCAATGCCATTTGCTCCACCGGTGGAATGAATTCTTATTTGCTCCACAAGGAAGATCTCCACCCACATATGTAGCTGATATCGACTTCAAACCAATTGAATCGTGTACGTATGGGCTACAGCTATCTGAAAAGCTACTTTAGAAGTGAAGGTGAATCAGACCAGTGGCTGCCGAAATATACATGCTGAAAAAGGGGTTCCGCAGCATCTCAGGAAGTAGCAATCGTCTCGAACGTCCGTCCACACAGCTCCAATTGACCCCAACCATTTTGCATCGTGTTGGCACGGTCGATACCGTTCATGCAAGCTATCGCACACTCAATACATTCCTGCAGAGAGTGGTCAACAGAGGGGGTTCCGAAGCATCCAGGGGGGAGGGGGTAAATGTCACTAGTCCCTCTATACCTCCCATCATATAGCTGAAACGCCTACATTTGACCGCACCGTGTTGGCATGGCTCACAGCTATCATTCAAGCCATCGGGCACCCCAATCGGACCATCAGTGGGTGCAGAGGAACGGGGGATCTATTCGATATACTCGTAGCATAGTATGATGGTTGAGATGTTATGTACGTACGTACGAATATTGCAGTGATGAGATGCGGAGGAACAGGAACTTTCTACATATTTTCCTTGGTTGTGAGAGGCTTTTGGTGAGGATTCAGAGAGATTCGTTGTGTGAGAAAGCATGAAGGCGTGACTCGATACCGTGATGGTTTGACGAGCACGAGCACGCCCCCG